CCATAAATTCTTTACACACACACACACACGCACACACACACACACCTATATATATATATATATATATATATATATATATATATATATGTCTTTCGTTAAATATGATAGACATGGAAAAATTTAATTAATTTTTTATTTAGTTTTTCCAGTCAAATTACCGAAAACATCATTACAAGAGAGGACCCGTATATCAAACATCTCTCGCCCACCATCAACCTCGTCTTGTTTAACAATGTCGACGGCGTTTCATTGTACGCCCACATGAATTCTAGCCATGCCCAACATGCGATGGCTCAGAATTAACGCCCCTCCGAGAATTCAAAATCACACACACGCACATACACACACACGCACACACACACACACACACATGTCACACTGTCAAAATATGAAAAGAAACTAACACCACCCAAAAACAAAACCGCGTTGAAAATGGCGAAGTCGCCGAAATCGCTTTGAACAATAGACGATATGGACAGATTTTGTACTCCTACCAAACAGAAAAATCTAAAAACGCTAGAAAAACTAAATAAAAAATTAAAAGATTTTGCTTGTCTGCCATATTTAACAAAAGATGTTTAGAAGGAACGTTGCTGCCCAAACATACATTGATATATATATATAACGTATTTTTATTTATAATATTTCATTATTGTTTATACTTCTGTTTGAATAGGTAAACCTGTTTTTAAATATGAAAATTTAAGTTTACTAGCGTGTGCATTCTTGATGAGGAAAAATTACGTCCCAGCTGGGCTGTCGGGCTGTAAAAGCTTTCTGCGGCTAAAATGTATGTAATGTGAATCGTACTACGTCGACCTGCAAATTAACGACGCTCTGATTATTTTGAAAAGCATCTTTCGATTTTTTAGCAGTGGCGACTTGTATCGCTGATAGAAAATACAAATGAATAACGAGTCATATAGTTTCGGATTCCTTAATAATAACCCACGAGACGCTTTATGCTAATTATCAATCAGTCTCTATGCGTTGGTAGACATATAAGTGCAAATCAACATATGCAACATGCATGCATATGTTTACATAGACTCACGTAAATACTCTCCCCGACTCAAACAGACACTCTCACAGATACACGTACGCGTGCAAACAACTCCCGCCACCTCACGCCATCTTCAGGCGTGTGTTGTTTCTAACGGTCCGTCCAGTTTTTTTCCCGCTCTCTGGGGTCTTGTGTTGGCAGTTTTATTTCATCGCTATCTCAAACCAGGAACGTCCATTTTACTCAAAATGGTAACAGGTTAGTCACGCACGATTAAGTGTATTAGTGTCATTCTCCTCAACCTTTCCCCCTTTCTTCCTCCTCTGTTCCAACTTCATTCTCAATATCAGTACGCAAATACACATACACAGATAGACAAACACACACCCCCACATACAAACACACACACACGCACATAGAAAAACACACACACGCACATATAACTATATATTCGCAAATACAGTAAATATTGAAGCAAAGTGGAGTTTGGAGTCTCATGGCATTTTATGTATAAATGCGATTAACATGCCTTCTTATTCATTTTTTTATTTTTATTTTGTCGGTTGATTTTAATATGTTTTGTTTTTTTTAAATTGAAATATTCAAAAGGGTTTGTGAAAATAATTTGCTTCATGGAACCAAAAATGACTAACTTTGAATCCAAATTTACAAAATACAAATTTTTGCTGACCTATCTTTCAAACTTTTCACGTTGTGAATTCTTTCTTTCTTTCTTTCTTACTTTCTTTCTTTCTTACATGCTATCAACCTATCTAGCTACCTACTTATATATATATATATATATATATATATATATATATATATATATATATATATATATATATATATTTTATACATTCTTTTTTATGTCTTAAAATAATTGTCGGACTTTGTCCATTTCATATATATATATATATATATATATATATATATATATATATATAATGACTCTCCCCTGTCAGTTTCGACGTATGAGGATCTACCAGCTTATTGATTCAGTTATGAAAGTTTATGCACTAATCTTAAGTGGCATTTAAGAGCCGTTAGTGATTTACAAAGGAGGCCGCATATGGAGCAAGTGTGAGGATTGTGAGATGAGATCACTGTTAGATTGGTTGACCTTTTTAGATCTTGCTCTCGCTTCTTGAAGATGATTCAGACAAGCAGATTGAAAAGTCCACTAAAACACGTTGATCTCCATTCTACCGCTCCTAAGCTAAGCGCTCAAGTGTGTTATGTATATTAACTGCTGACAATTATATATATATATATATATATATATATATATATATATATATATATATATATATATTAATTATTTTCTTTTAAAAATATGAGAAAATTTTCATGCTTCAAAACTGAAACTAAATTTATAAATTTTGTTATAAAAATTAAACTTAAAATCCATAGTCTCATTCCATTGTCAAGCGATGATGAAGTTTATTCCTATCATCGTTTGGCAATGGAACGAGACGATGGATTTTAAGTTTAATTTTTATAATTAAATTTATAAATTTAGTTTCAGTCTTGAAACATGGAAATTTTCTCAGTCGTGATGGAATCATACTTTTAAAAAGAAAATAATTATAACATATATTATGTTATTATTATCCAATCATTATGTTGTGGATATCCTTATGCCGATTTACACGTGTATCAATCTAGCACTTTGTGTTTTTGGGAAACTATTTACTATAGTTATTCCCGAAAAAAACGGTATAAACAGCTGAGTGTACACAATTTATTCTACATTTGTTTTCAGACCATTTGGTATAATGATTGGTAAGAAATGTTTCTATCTATCTATTTATCTATCTATCTATACATACATACGATCACATACGCACACACATACACATATAGATAGATACGTTAAGTTTTGTAGTTTTTGTATGTTTCTTCTGTGAAATTTGTTGTCATTGTGCAGGAAGTAATTCGGGTATTGGAGAAGTTTGAAAGTATTTTGGTGTATTTCGCTTCTTCGAGTAGGAATTGGGGGCTAGAGATTACTAAGGGCTCTTAAATAAAAGTATATGATTACTATGGATTTTATTTAAGAGCCCTTAGAAAATCGTATATATATATATATATATATATATATATATATATATATATATATATATATATATGTGTGTGTGTGTGTGTGTGTGTGTGTGAAAGTGTATATAAATATAAATAAATATATATATGTATAATTATTTATATATTATATGCACAGTACTTATTAAAAGCGCTCAATATCAGAGATAGAGCTAACATATTTAGTTGGATAGATGTGAGTTTGTGACCCTGAGTTTCACGCTTTAGCGATCGTCAGACAAACTCTCTCTATATATAATTATTTATTTAAAAATATGATTCCAACACGCTACATAAGAGTTCTCATGTTTCAAAACAAGAGCTGAAATTGAATTAAAGTATTAAGCTCTGTTCGATCTTCAAGCGAAATTTTTTTTTTGAATGACTTATTTCTGAAATTTACGTGTTTTATAAGCAATATATATATATATATATGTATATATATATGTATGTGTGTGTGTGTGTTTCTCTGAAGCGTGGACTACCTATCGAAGGCACATTAAGGTCTTAGATCGTTTTCATCTGCAGTGTCTAAGATGAATCTTGGACATCATTTGGCAGTCTTGTATTCTAGACACAAAAAGTCCTTCATCATGCAAGTATAACCAGCTTAGAAAAACTACTTCTCTGTAATCACATGTACTGGACAGGTCATCTGGCACGTATGGAGGATGTCAGATTTCTTTTGGTGAGCTGGTATAAAGTAATTGACCTGCTCATAAGCCCCCTTCCCAAAAGAAAAAGGTTCCAAGGATCTCGTTATATGTAACCTAAAGACTCTTGGCGTTAATGTTAAGGGCTGGGGGAAATGATGTTGCTGGGAAAGCCGCAAAACTTTCGAGCAGAAGAAAATTGAGCATCTCAACAAAATGCGCGCCATTAAGAAAGTAGAGATAGAATCTGTCTCAGATCTATTAGAACACCAACACACTTGCGGTATTTCTGGAAAAGTCACTCTTTCGTTGGCTAGTTTAGCCAGTCACATGAGAACACACCAGAGAGGTCAGGCGCAACCTCCTATGAATTCAACCCAACCAGAATGTCCTGCAGGTTATTTGTGCGAGTTTTGTGACAAGGTTAGCCGGACTCAAGCATCACATGACTGTACACAGGGACAAGCAAGTTTCCAACATTGGCAACACTGTTTGCTATGTGTGTCGGAGCGGTTCTGAAATTGAAGCTGGCCTTAGGAATCACTTACGGGCCCATCATAAAAATGATGGCAGTGATAAATTTCCAACTGATGAGATGGTCTTCTTCTGCAAAGAACTGACAATCATATATAGTATCTTGTCAGTCGTCTTTAATGAAATATATATATATATATATATATATATATATATATATATATATATATGAAATGATAATAAAAATGAAATAATAAAAAAAAACGAAAGAATATTAATCTACAACCCAGTGTGTCTGAAGATTTTAATTTTTTAATATTTTTTATTGTTCTATATATATATATATATATATATATATATATATATATGGAAAGCGTCAGCAAATATTCCTGTGACTCTGCCCAGAGATCCTCGATGTTGCGATGTTGCACAATATGTGGACTTGTATGCAAGTCACGAGCGGGACTGAAGTGTCACATACACTTTCGATACATGACTGACGAGGCAGATTTTTTCCCCATAGTAGGTTGCCATTTCTTTCTGTGGTAGACTAGTTGCCATCCAAGGCTATAGAACTCGGTCTGTCCATAGCTGGGGGTGGAGGAGAGGAGAGGAGTCATACCTTTACCAAGGGTATTAGCACGTAAGTGAATGGATTCGACTGGTATTCGAACTCGGCTCTCCGATTCCGCTACCCATTACTCCAGCGTACCTCCTGTCGCATACGAGACAAACATAAAAAATGAATGCGGTTGTCGGATCCCCATACATCAAAATGGAAGGAGAGTCTATCATATATATATATATATATATATATATATATATATATATATATATATATATATGTATGTATGTGTGTGGATGTGTGATAGATAGATAGATAGATAGATAGATAGATAGATAGATAGATTGATATGAATAGATATGAATGATAGATAGATAGATAGATGTAAACAGATAGATAGATAAATAGACAGATATGAACAGACTGAGATAGATAAATAGATAGATAATGATAGATAGATAGATAGATAGATAGATAGATGAATAGAACAGTCTGAGATAGATAGATACAGACTGAGATAGATAGATAATGAATAGTCTGATGAATATAGATAGATGGAGATATGAACAGTCTGAGATAGATAGATATGAACAGATGAGATAGATAGATAGATAGATAGATAGATAGATAGATAGATATGATAGATGAGATTGATGAATATGAACAGACTGAGGGTTGATAGATATGAACAGACTGAGATAGATAGATAGATAGATAGATAGATAGATAGATAGATAGATAGATAGATAGATATGAACAGACTGAGATTGATATATATGAACAGACTGAGATAGATAGATAGATAGATAGATAGATAGATAGATAGATAGATAGATAGATAGATGTGAGGAGTGACAGAAAGAGATTGAGAGCTTCGTAGGAGTGGGATTATTACCGGTCACTACCGATATGACCTTTCTTGTTTTCCCTACTGATTCAGTTATACTCTCGGATTAACCCCATAGTTTGAGACATTCATTTCAAACCTAATTATTGGATCGCAATACAGAACAAAACTCTTACAATTTTAGCACAGCAGGGAATATTTTAGCGACTTGAATCGAGTTTTAAATATCCAGGAAAAAGTGGGGTCGGATTTGACCTTCAGTGCCATATTTGACTTGAACTCCTTATTAAATTCACTGAAAGAAATTTGAAGCCCTTTGAAGATATTAACGTTTTTTGCTATTTTCTTTTGAGTAAATATGAGATATTGATGATGGTAATAACTGATTAGACAAAGCTCAAGCTTTTTTCATGAAATTCTCCTTCATCAAGTACGAAACACGAGGGATAACGCAAAAGCTTTTAAAACTAGAACCTCTCACTGGATCAAATTCTCAGATTCTAATTCTTGTAATATTGACAGTTTTAAAGACAAACGAAACGGAAAATGATATTACCTGTTATATGGCGTTTATTATTATTATTATTATTGCCGTCGAATATTTCGTCGAATTCAAATCGTTTCCTTTCAAACTCTGTCACCGAAACGTAACAGAAAGCGTAGAGGCGGCAAATGTTGATCGTAATGATCTGGAGGCTTGCTACACTGCAGATTGTATTTATTTTATTCTACGAATTAATTTAATAATTTGGTCATTGATATTGTATTTATTATTGACAGTTGTACGGATAGCGGAACGTGATCTATCCTTGTTGAAAATGATTGGAGTCATTTCTTTCAAAAACTCGAAATTTATTTGAACCTAGAATTACTTTACTAACTTAAGTTACTAAATATAATCACTAATGTTCTTAAAGCGGACGTAAGTCGTAAAACCAGGTATTTACTCGTCTCCTTTGTTAGTATCATTGTAACAAATAGTCTTTAAATTTCAAGACTGACCGCAGAAGAGAAGGGTATTAAAAACAGAAATAGAGCGTATTTTAAAGAATTTTTCAAATCTCAGTGTTTTCATAGGCAATCCATTATTTTGAGAGTCATGTAAATAAGAGCTCCTTTTAGTGCATGCGTCAGATGCCTTCTGGGTTGTACTTGGTCACCTTACTTCGTCCACAATAAAAGCCCTTATTTTCTCAGCTCAATGATTTGGGATCATCTTACAGATCATGATAAATCATTGACCCTTAATCTCCTTTTTATCTTAACTCCCTAGCTATCGTCGGGGAAAAAAATGAAAAAAGAATTTTTTCGCGTTTTCTCTTGTTATTTTTTTTTTATTCTGTGTGTGAACTACTGACCCTTAGGGTGACAGGTCGACGCCTATCATTGTTCAATAGACACATCTACGGTAAAATTTGCTAAGACACGCTTGAAATCTTTTATTTTTGCCAATCTGCTGACGTACGCTCCTTTTGCCCGTGTTAGAGCGTAGTGATGGGGTAGGGGGGGGGAGAAAGGCGATATATGCGTGTTGGCGAACTCTGATATTTCAACATTTTAATCTATAAACAACTTATAAACACGCATTTGAAAACAAGATGCAAGAAGGATTTTAAAACAAATCCAACAGTGGGCTAAAATCATTGCAGTATCAAAAAAGGGTCATTAATATTGTCAAAGAGCAGTCTCTATCTGTCACACAATAATTGTTACTTTCATTCGTATCACTTTATTCAGGAACACATTGTCTTGAGAAGCTCCCTACCTTTGCATTGTGGGAATCTTAATATAAAAACAAAATGGTGGACGAAATTTGTATTCTTGACAGTTCTTAGCTTAAGTTAGTTTTGAACAAGGCTATGATCAATAGTTTAAAAGTGTTGTTTGAACAGGACTGGATTAGAGAAGTGTTTTCCAGTGGAACTTGCTCACAATTGATCAGTGTTAAATATTACACACACACACACACACACACACATATATATATATATATATATATTTGCAAATGAGAGAAAGAAGAAATGGAGTAAAAGTACACTGTTTGTAGCATTTACTTTTAAAAAACGTGTTCAATACAAAGTAAAGAGATATATTATTATTATTATTATTATTATTATTATTATTATTATTATTATTATTATTATGTTTTCATTATAAGCGATTATAATACAAACATTTTGAAATCGCTTCCAAAAGCTTTCATGTTTCAATACTATGATTGTACTTCTTCAGGCGATGGTAAGTAACTAATGCTAACTGATGGTAAGTAACAGATGGTAAGTAATCGTCTAAAGAAATGCAATCATAGTATTAAAAAGATAAAGCTTTTTGAGTAACATTCAAAATATTTTTATTTAATCTCTTATAATATTTATATATATATATATATATATATATATATATATATATATATATATATATATATATATACGCACCCTCGGTTACAGTGGCCATTACTATTATTTTTTTATTTTCTTTGATTTCTGGCGTTTACACATTTCTTTTTCTTTTCCCTTGGACCTAAGGTTAGAAATGGCATCATGACACTTTCCACTGACAAAAAAAAAAAAATTAAATTACATAGATAAAGCCCTTCGTAAGGTGTGAGCTGTACTTGTCAGAACAATTTTTTGTATCTCCTTGAGGCATGGACTTCCAGGAATCCGTTCAATTAGTCTACTGCAATCTTTTCCAACCAGTCCTAGGGCTCCAACTATAACAGGGATTGTTGATGTTCTATATGCCACATTTTCGAGATTTCTATTTCATGGTCCTTGTATTTTGACAGCTTTTTGAATATCTTCAAAGATACATTGCAGTCAGCAGGGACTGCCATATCAATAAGGAGGCACCGTCTTTGTTTGTGGTCTTTGATAACAATATTTGGGCGGTTGGCCTTGATTGTTCTGTCAGTGTGTATTGTGTAGTCCCATAGAATTGTGACAGGTCCTATCTCCGTAACCGGGTCTGGGTGGTGTTCATACCAGTTTCTTTCAGTTTCCTTCCCGTAGAAGTTGCAGATTTTCCAGTGCAGATATTGGCCCACTCTGTCATGTCGGATTTTATATTCAGTGGGTGCCAACATCGTGCAACCTGATACAAGATGATCAATCGTTTCTGGATATTTATCACAGAATCTGCATTTTGGGCTGACACATTATCATTATTATTATTATTATTATTATTATTATTCAAATAATGTATATTTGGGCAGGAACCTGTCTTTTACACATGTTACGTTGAATATGACAGACAGGGACAATTTTATAAAATTTTTACTGTTTTTTTTTTTTTTCTTAGTATTCTTAGATTTTTCCGTTTGATGTAGTTAAGGGAGTGTCATAAATGTACATAGTTTCTATTGTCCAAAGCACTTTTGACAAATTCTTTAGTCATTTTCAAGGAGTTTTTTGTTAAGTGTTCTTAATTTCTTTTCCCGGTTGTCTTTTAAGATGGAATTGTGTGATGCACATTTTATGATAGTAGCGTTTATTCCGAACCCCGAGAAAGGGCCGTAGCTGGAATTCAGGTTGGCGTCCTTCTATTTAAAAAAGAAATATTTAGCACATTGTTTTCGTTGTTAAATAAAGTAAGATTAATACAGAGTCACAACTGTTTTACAAAGAGTGCTACTCTCACGACGAGATGTTTTCGGTGACGGGATTTATGAAGGATGACCGTGTTATCAACCAGAATTTTCCTCATGGGTTCTTCTAGATTGCAGGTAGCTAAATGCCGTTTTATGCTACTTTGATCAGACAAGTGATATATATATATATATATATATATATATATATATATATATATATGTGTGTGTGTGTGTGTGTGTGTGTGTGTGTGTGTGTGTGTGTGCGTACCTGAAAAGTGGACGGACAAGTCCGCCCTATGAAACTCTGGAGTCAGGATGCTCTAGGTAAGATCAATCAGCTAAGTAACAGACTTTTACTTATATATATACATATATATATACATATATATATATATATATATATATATATATATATATATATATATATATATATAATTTTTTAATTTTGTTGTGTAATCTATATGCTATTTATAATAAACACATTGAGCTATTTTTGTGGACCAATTTTGATATTTGATATTACTAGGATCCACTTGGATTATATACCAACGGATTTATTACCTGTACTATAAATATATTATTATTATTATTATTATTATTACGTAAACGCCATTTTCAGTGGATACTTGTATTTGAGTAAATGCTCTTTTATTAAACAGTATATTTATTTTATTTTCGTTTACTGGCCTGAATATTCGAGAAATCTTAGAGAATAATATGCGCTCTCCGGCAGGGAAACTGTCATTAGATCTGACGTAATAAAATCACTTTCATTACAAATTGCTTTATATACAGAGGTATGGAGCGTAATTAACAAATCATGGGTTATAATTAAACATCGAGAGATTACTTTAAATAAATCTAATTTTAAATTTAAATTTTAAATTTCTGGTGTTCAATGTGTTTAGATGACCAAACTAACCGACCTCATTGGGCATTCTACCATTTTTTTTTTTTTATATCGAAGTTGTCTTTAAATATCCCACATTATAAGTGCATTCGTTTGATTGAAAAAGGTAATATGCTGCGTGAACTTTACCGTGGAAGACTCAGAAATTAGGTCACTTTCTATCTTGTCATTCAGTTACTAAGCATATCCTTAAGGGGTATTTTTTAAACTCATAGATAATGTCCGTTCGTTGTAATTTTGATTTTGATGGTGTGTGTTATTTTTTGAGTTTAAGGTTTGCTGTTTTAAATTTTTTGTAGTAGATAATTTATTTGATTTTTTTGTTCGGAAAATAAAACACCCCTATAACTTTAAAAACATATACACAATCCATACACCCAATTAAAAATCAAAAATAAAATCATCCTTGATAATGGCTAAAAAAAATAGCCGAAAAGAGTTCGGAATTACAGAACATTTGAACAGTTTCTACACACTCTGGTCCACAAAAAGAAAACACTTGTTCAAATACAAGAAAAATTAAAAAACTTAATCGTAGTACCTTGTCTGTCGTCTTTCATTAAACATGCATATATATATATATATATATATATATATATATATATATATATATATATATATATATTATTATTTATTTAAAAAAAAAATTTATAACATAAATATATTTATAAAATCACTACAAAAAATAACCATTTTGTTTCAACACCCTGGTGTCTTATCAAGTGATGATGTTGAATGTAAAATAAGTGGTTTTTCTTTAAGAATAGTAATTGTTGGTTATTGAATTCATTCTGTATACACCAATTATATACTTGTATATATATATATATATATATATATATATATATATATATATATATATATATATAAATTTACTCTGTCTGATCCACTTCAACAAAAACCAATCAAAAAGATTACTTCTTGAAGAGCTTTTAGTGTGTGTGTGTGTGATTATGAATTTCTTCTGCTCTAAGATCGGTCATAAATCTATCATAAATAAAATTAAAAAAACAGTTGAATCACTTTTATGCTAGGTGATTCTTCCTAAAATTTATATGAAAGAACATTGGATTTCATCTGAGATAAACATCGTATTATTTATTCTGGGAAAAGATTTCATACCAGATTTTGTTAATCTAAGAAACCTGTCTGTCTATGTGCCAGGTTATCACAATTTTTTTTCGTTTCCTTTCAAAGTTTATTTCTTTTCTTTCTTTCTTCCTTCCTTCCTTCTTTCCTATCTATCTATCTATCTATCTATCTATCTATCTATCTATCTATCTATCTCAGTCTGTTCATATCTATCTATCTATCTATCTATCTATCTATCTATCTATCTCATTCTGTTTAATTCTATCTATCTATTCTATCTATCTCCCTATTTATTCATCTATCTATCTATCTATCTATCTATCTATCTATCTCATTCTGTTTATTCCTATCTATCTATCTATCATCTATCTATCTATCTATCTATCTATCTATCTATCTATCTCATCTGTTTCATCTATCTATCTATCTATCTATCTATCTATCTATCTATCTATCTATCTACCAGTGTCTAAATATTTACCTGCCACCGTGATTAGCCGCTCTTAGACGTGTCAAATTTTCGTCATCTTGTTACAAAAGCCTGTCGGTAAATTCCAAGCACGAAAAAACGTTGCCTTCTCATCAAAATGAACGAATTCCCTTCGTTCTAACGTTTGACCATCCCTTATGTTTGAATAAGCATTTTA